TTTACTTGCATTTATAACAATTCAACGAATTTATTTTTCGTGCGTTATGTAATCACTACTAAATAATAATCACCAATATCAACACTTCGAAAACAAGTAAGTTATTCACTTGTGACCAGCAGCATGGCCGGATCGAGCTACATGTGATCATTTGCTACTAAGCAGTGCATTCGTGTTCTTATTTGAAACTTCTGTTAGAATATACTTTTCGTTACCAAGAAAATTAAAAAAATAAATGCATATTACATTAAAAATACTGAGTATTTTTTGTATCATGTGGATTTTTATTTTGATTGACTGTAATTTTTCAACATTTCGTAACGCCTATTTTAGAACCAAAATAAGGCCTTTCACTCTTCCCCGACGCCTATTCAAGAGATTGTACGGTGTATTGTTTGTTCTGTGCATGTGTTGTGGGCAAAAAATGACCACGCCCATTTAGTGATTGCAATATGTACGTAATAGAAACCGCACCCCGAACTTGAGCTTTTGATCCCAATTTTTAAATTGATACATTGTAATATAAACCGCGGTTTATAATAGGACTTTAACGGTATATAGTCAAATAATACCTTCAATACCAGATTATACTGGGTTCTGACGTAAAGTCGTCCTGGGCCGTTAAACCACAATTTTTCGGCAGTTTTTAAAGTTGATTTTTTGAATGGGCGAATTTACGGCAGAATCCGGTATATTAAAATAATTCATTCTTTTGTAGTGTTGACAATTCTTTAAACAAATTGATTGGTATCTTGAGTGGAAATGAACCTGAGTTACAATTGGAAGCTGTATGGTGTGTAGCTAATATCTCTGCTGGTGAACATGAACATACTAAGCTTGTTTCCAAGATGGCTGCTCCCTACCTTATTACTTATCTGAGTGGACAAAATCCCAAGTTACAGGTGAGACAAATATTGTTTGTCATTTTTGTGAGAATTCCGTTAGTAGCTGTTAATTATCAGCAAAAATATTAAAATTAAAAACAAGCTACCGTATTAAATAGGGATGTTTGAGATGAATTTATATGTCAAATTGTTCATACTTTCGTGAATGAGAGTTCATGTTAATAATACAATACTTAAAAAGAAAACAAAAATAAGCAGCTGTCCAAAAAATTCTGTTCATGTCGGCTTAATGTGGTTTTTGCATAACGTTTAACAAATTTGGTTGGTGATATGATATATTGTCATTGACATGGTGTATATTATTGTTGCAAAGTTGGATTAAATTAGCATATTATTTTACTGTATTTTAAATGAAATGTTTTTTTTCCTTTTTATGTAATGTGCTGTGGGTGAAACAAAAACTTTAATTTGAATTGAACTTCCTTACAGTATTTTATTTGCACTAATGATGAGTTTATTCCATATTAGGATCAGTGTGCCTGGGCACTGGGTAACATGGCTGGAGATGAAGGAGAATGCAGAGACACATTGTTATCACAAGGTATCTTACAACCATTGGTCAATTTACTGAAGGTTAGTAGATTATTATGGGATATTACAAATTGTTTTGTGTCATAAGTCTCACCTAGAAATAAAATAATGCATTTAAAGCACATGAAAGATACTGGTATGCATCAGTGGAGGGCATGGGTGGTGTAATAATATGGTGTTATAATTGTTATGCAGTATGAAATTTTCATATCACATAAAATCAGTGCCGTCGCATGATTGGTTTTCTCTATATACGATTCGAGCACACACAGACTGATCATGCATATCATTAACAGTCGTGAAGTATCATACAGTAATTCTTTGTGACACCAACATAGCAACAATCCTACTCTTCGAGGTTCCATGGTACATCACTTAAATCTGGAGAATTTGTTTTTGTTTTCAGTCTACAGACCAAATGTAGTACAATCAGCTGCTTTTGCTTTGTCTAACTTGGCGAGGGGACAAGGAGCTAACACTAGGTAAGGATGTGATAAACAAAGGCAAGGCTGTACTACAAAGCTATAAACCATTTTAATAGGGTTAGACTGGGTGTAGTATAATTCATAGTGTTCTTGCTGAAATACAACAGCAATGTTGTACTGTAAAAGAAATTCACTTAGCAAGGGGTTGGCTGTGTGAGTCTTAAACCTAACATTGCCATGTTTGAAGCCTTTCAAAAAGTCTAAAAATTAGAATCTGAAAGAATTATTTTAATGAGATCTGAAAAATATCCTCACAATTGCCTGTGAGGAAACAAGTTGTCACCAATTTTGACTAGACATCATTTTATTTTGCATCATAGAAGTCAACTAAGATGAGTGGTTTTTGTAACAATAAATAGACAGATTCTTTACTGTTTTCCTTTCATAATAATTGCGAATTTGTTGATAAGAATGTTCATAAATCACAAATAATTAGTCTTAAAAAAAATATATAAAATAGTCTTATCTTTAATGAACTGTCCGAATCCTAGAATGAATCTCATTAATTTGTGGTTCATATAGTGAGTCCCTATTCACCCTTATGTATGAATAAAATGTTATAAATGGCAATATAAAACGAAGCTACAGCAGTGTTTTGTCATGAAAAAAATTCAGGATGTGAAGCCATACTACTCAATTGAAACAAAATTTATTGTGCTATGTTAATGGTGTCCTTAGAATTGGAAATATTACATCAGTGTTACCTATATCCTTGATATAAATTCTCTGTCTTGCACAATATACATTATGTAAAATTCATGTACGTACATTACGACACTCTGTGTTATTATTTTCAGCATCCTGATGGAGGCAGGCATTGTGCCATTATTACTGAAGCATTTAGTCATTACAAAAGACAATATGGCAGTCTTATCTGAAGTTGCTTGGGTCTTGACATACCTCGCTGCAAGGTGACGTACTGCATACTTTGTACTTAAAATTTTTTTAATCATAGAGCAAAAAAATGCACAGTTTTAATTCTCGACAATCATCATTCAAAAATGCATATAGCTGGGAAACAAAGCCATAAGCTTTAAAGATTAAATTTTACAGGCAGATAGCAAACATCATGGGAGAGTGTCCAAGGGTCACAGGACTGTGATGCTGTGCAGAGGCCTGGGAAAAATACTGGAAAATACTGGTGTTATTGCAGTGTTTAAGCAGAAGCAGTTATTCGCTGATGCATTGACATTGCATTGGCTTCTATTGAATCCTGTGTTCTCCTCATGTAGGAGAAAGCATAGTGGCTAGGCTGTCATATGCTTGTCATCCCCATGCTTACGCTTTTTAGCCATGCTAATAGGATGCATTGTTTTAAATCCACTTGACACAGTCATATTGAATCGCATATATTGTCACTATTTCACAGTGTAATCTCTGTGATAGTTTAATAATGCAAAGATTGAATACAACCAGCCAAATACTTTAAGTATCGTGAAATCAGGAGGTTGTGTTCTCCTCAAGATAAAAACAGTGGTACCACGCTCTAATCTTAAAACTAACATGTGACAACTGAAAATCTGGGAAAAGCACTGCATGACACAAACAAGATACTTGTAATGCTACCATCAGAATTACTCTGGTTGCATTTACAATTATAATAACTTATTTGTTTACTGTCAATATTTTGTAGAAAGGAACATGAACCTGCATTAGTTTCTGAAGGTATTATTCCTAAACTAGTTGATTTACTGGTACAATTATCAAAACAGAAGCCACATCATGCACAGGTCAGTACTACCCATCTTATTCAAATTTGCAATTTAAATTTCAAAATAGAAATATTGTTTTTACTAAGACAAAAGGAAATTTGATTTTGTTCACAGGCTGTAACTCCATTGCTTCGTTGTCTTGGTAACATATGCAGTGGTCCCGATGAATACAGTGCTATGGCAACAGAAAATGGAACATTAATGCCAGCATTACATCTGTATTTGAACTCAGACCACAGACATATTAAAAAAGAAACATTATGGGTGCTAACCAATATGACAGGTTAGTTGTTGAGTACTGGAGAATATGATGGGTTTATTGATTTTTTTGGTCGATATCCTGGATAAATGTATGCATACGAACCAATATTCTGGGTTAGGTGGTGAATATTGGCCAATATATTGTGTTAGTGTGTGCTTATTGGCCAATCTATATGGAATGATGTACACTTATTGGGTATTGGCTAAAAAGCTATGATACTGGGGTGGGT